CTTGGGCACTCACACGTGCCCAGCGTGTCGTTAAGCCACAGGGTCCGGGAGATTCGAACTGTGGTCAACTACATGGGAGTCCAGCGACATAGCCATTACGCCAACTGCTGGTCCCTTCAGTGACTTTCCTTCAGACCACTGGAATCCGTGGCAGCTTCCTCTGTGGGAGATACTGTCAGTCTACACCCGCTGTGTTTAGACCGCCTCCCATAAGGCACGCTGGTTCGCGTTTCCCCGTGGTCACACAGACGGGGTACCCTCTGGGATGTTATAAACGAGTTTACCATTCTTGATTTTCTCTTACTTCTCTAGACTCGTATTTCACATCCATGGCAAGTTTTACTTAGTTATATTCGCCTGGTGCCAGTGGCCGGTAGGCCCCGGAACAAACCATTCTAAAGGTTCTAGTACTTCCTGAACAGCTCCCCGCCCCCCACCCAGCAAAAGCGGACACATGTGCGCATGCCCGGGAAAAGCCAAGTGAGGGAGGCCAATGACGATAGTTTTGGAGAGCTAATTTCTAGTTTTCCAAAAGTTCCTAGCCACCAGGCTTTATTTAAACTTTATCTATGTCTTCCATGAGTGAGAGCGAGCTGGATCTGAGTGGAGGGCCCAGGTGCCTGTGGGTGCTTGGCCGGCCCCCCTTTCTCTGAGGCACGTGGCCGGTTCCCAACGGCACAGCAGCACCGGCCGGGTGAGTCTCAGTATTCTCCCTTGTAAAAGGCACAACCAAAAAGGCGGGCCAGCCCCGCGTGCACCAAGCACCCACGCGTGCACCCAAGATCCTGCAGGGGAGGGAACTGTGGCTGAGACCTCTGTTGGGGGTGCCTGTCTCTCCCATGCAGGAGAAATATCATAAATAAACTTCTAGGAAAACTACAAAGCAAAACCCGCCAAAGCCACACGGATGAGGCTGCTGAATGTGGGATAGTTGTGGGCACCCGGGGACCCACCTGAGTTCTTTGGAGTGCGCCCTCGGGGTCTCCTGCATGCCCCCTCACTGGCCCAGCACGCAGCCAGCTCTGTCCTGCCCCGCCCCATGCTGGCACCTTGGGGTGCATGCCCTCCCCTCCTGTCCAGGCACAGGCTGGGCCCTCGGGGGTATCCGCGTTGGGCCTGGCTGCGGTCTTCCCCGCCAGAAGGCCTGCACAGAACGGCCATCCTGGGGATCCATGAGACCTTTGGCGTTCCGAGGCCTGTGACGGTTTTTGGAGTACCGTCACACACGTACTGGTTTCAAACACATTTGCTATCATTCTTAGGGGCTTGGTGAGCTGGTGGGGGAGGTGCTGGCACTATTTCAGCCCTTAAACGTCAGGAAACAGAACTGTCACAACAGAATTTCACTCTTTGTCTCCAGTGGGCTGGGACTCATTGGTTTATGACATTCCCTTTATTTTTAAGGAGTAACCCTTTTTTAAAAAAAAACCTCAGAGTAGCTGGGACCACAGGTTTCCACCAGCACAACCAGCTTTTAGGGGGTGCTGGGAGTTGAACCGTGGCCTCTCACAGCTTCAGCCTGCAGTGGTGTCATGCATGCTGTCATGGTAACACCCAAACACCATCCCCATGGTAACCCAGATCCGCAAGATGAGGTAAAATGAGCGTGGAAGCTACAATGACGTGCGAGTGTGACGTCACAGGCCAGGACCACCCTGTGGGTCACAGCTCAGGGCGGCGGCCGGCTGCTCCCCGGGACCTGCCACTCCTCCTAGGACAACTGGAGGCCTG